CGGTCTTTTCCTGAGAATCCTTGTGCAACGCTGGTCTCAGGAAAACCTGGCCCGAATTAGGTGGCTAAAGTCCATAAAGGCTAAGGGGGGCAAGTGAACTTGGCTTTGGGAGAAAGGAGGAAATCTGCCACCGCTTCCGGCAGCCCTGATGAACGGCTGAAAACAGGGTTCCAGCCACGGGCCTCTCCACACTCCAGGGCCCCACAGACTTCTAGGCCTTCAGCCTTGGCCCCCCGGCCCTGCCCCCTAGCCCTGAAACACACCTGTTTAGCAGAGAATGACTTTTGATTTGTCGCCTGTCATGCTGCCAGCCTGCTCCAGAGGCTGGGGAGGGCCCCGGAAGCTCTGTGGGAAAACCGAAGCTGTTGTGTAGATTAGAAGGGGGAGAAGGGGGAGGCAGGTGTGTCTGGGAGAGCCCCGGGGACCAGGTGCCCTGTTCTCACGCTCTCATTGTCTAGAGGCAGAAGGAGCCTCTGGCTGAGAGCAGGGATGTCACATGTCCAGCTGGGTGGCCCCCTCCCCCAGCCTGTGTGCCAGATATGGGGCTTGCGGTCCAGCAGTGTGTTTCATTCATAGTCAATGAGGGCCCGGGAGGCCTCTGGGACTGTTTTTGTTTAGAAGCACACACTTGAAACTTCTGGTTAACAGGAAGTATTTTTGGCCCTGGGGATGAGGGGGATCTCTGGCCCACTGGTAGCTGGAAGTGCACATGTGTAAATGCAGCATGCCTGTGTCCAGAAGGGCATGTCTGCTTTGCTTGCCTGCACTCATCTCTGGATAAATCTGTGCATACGTGACTGTGAGTCTGTGTATATACATGCTGCTGCTGCTAAGTCACTTCAGTTGTGTCCGACTCTGTGTGACCCCATAGACGGCAGTCCACCAGGCTCCCCTGTCCCTGGGATTCTCCAGGCAAGAACATTGGAGTGGGTTGCTATTTCCTTCTCCAATGCATGAAAGTAAAAAGTGAAAGTGAAGTTACTCAGTCATGTCCAACTCTTAGCGACCCCATGAACTGCAGCCTAAGAGGCTCCTCTGTCCTGGCATTATCCAGGCAAGAGTACTGGAGTGAGGTGCCATTACCTTCTCTGGTGTACATACATGAGTATGGTCTGTATGTTGGTTTGGGGTGAGCAGGAAGGACTCTACAGAGCAAGTCTGAAAATGTCAGTTCTCTGGGTCTCCTCCCAGCTGGGCCTCTCGTGGAATGAGCTTTTGGGGGTCTTGCTCTGAGGGTCTCCCCTGCCACAGAGCCTGTTACTCAAGCTCCACCGGCTGGCACTGGTGATCCTGAGGATGCTGGGTTCTCAGCGCAGTAGCCTGGACTGGGGAGAGGATCTGGGGCCCAGAAAGCCTCCATGGGTGGGCACAGGGTCACAGGATGCAGCCCATGACTGGCTAATTGGCCCCTTAGCATGGACCCAGGCGCCAATGTCATGGCACTGCTGCCCCTGTTCCCAGCCACACCCTTTCAAACAGGCTGCTCTGGGGGTAGAAAGAGAAGCTCAGCCAGCCTACAGGCCCACCCAACCAGCAGCCAGGCCAGGAAATATATCAGTGTTCAGAGCTCAACCCAACCTCCTGGTCCTGGCCTGCTCTGTCCACTTCCTGTTGGAAGCAGAGCCTTTAGGCCTCCAGACCTCATGTTGAGAAAGTGACATTTTTGGAGAAGCTGCAGCATGGATGTTGGCAGGGAGGGGGTTGAGGGTGGCAGCCATCCCCAAGTCTCCAGAAAACCTGGGAACTCTCCTGGTGGTCCAGAGGTTAAAACTCTGTGCTCCCAATGCAAGGGGTACAAGTTCAGTCCCTGGCAGGGGAAGTAAGATCTACATGCCACACAGCTTGGCCTGAAATGAACAAACAAATCAACCAAAAATTTCCATGCCACCCACCCATTTCTGCTCAGACTTCCTCTGTCTCCATCTCTTCCTCTTGTTCTCATGCTGGTTGCCCTGTTGGAGAAATTGTAGCACAAATGCTCTCAGTGGAACTTTCTGCAATGACGGAAATCCTCTCTATCTGCTGTCCAACGTGGCAGCCACCAGCCACATACACGGCTACTGAGGACCTGAACTGTGGCTAGAGTGATTGAGGAACTGGGTTTTTCATTTCATTTCATTTTGAAAAACACAGCTCTAGTAAACCAATTCCTACAGAAGGGATGAAAAATGCAGTCGCCTCCAAGATGCATGTTTGATGCTGTATCAATGCCAAGTTCTTCCATGTCCATCTTCTTTGGAGCCTCCCAGCAACACTGCCAGGCCAGGGCAGGAACTACTAATCCCCCTGCACAGAGGGCCAGATGACTTGCCCAAGGTCTCCCTATCAGAGACAGGGCTGTAGAGTTGCCCAGGTCTTCTAGTTCTAGAAGTAAGATTTTCTCCATCACTAGCCTCTTCCTAGCAGACCTGCACTCAGGCACTGAGAACAAAAAACAATGCCTGATGCTAGAAGTTCAGTCCAGGTTTGACCTGTAGAGAAGAGGTTTCAGGGGTGGTATTGGAACTTCAGTTTCTCACTCTTTGTAGATGAGGAGAGGGAAATATGGATAGGTCTAGGGGTACTTATATGCCAGACACTGTGTTAGGCTCTTTGCAAAGCTTAGCTCTTAACCTTCGCAAGGTCAGGTGTTCTCCCCATTTTACAGATAGAGAAATAGAGGCTCAGAGAGGTGACTCAAGTTGTCCAAAGCAATACAGCAAACGAGTGGTGGAGCTGGGCTTTGAACTGGGCACTTTGACTCTGCAGGTTTCTCTTCCACTCAGCTAGTAAAGAACCCACCTGCCAACACAGGAGAAGCAAAAGTCGCTGGTTCGATCCCTGGGTCAGGAAGATCCCCTGGAGGAGGGCATGGCAACCCACTCCAGTATTCTTGCCTGGAGAATCCTATGGACAGAAGAGCCTGGTGGGCTAATAAAGCCCATGGGGTCACAAAGAGTCGGACATGGCTGAACTACTGACACACACCATCTGGTTTGGGATGTAGGCCTGATTTAGAAAAAACTGATTGTGTGAGTCAGATGGCACTCTGAACCGGGCTCCCACTGTGTGTATATCTGTAGCTTAGGCTCCTCGGGGATGGGGGGAAGAATAAGGTCCCTTGGACCCCAGCCCTGGAAACCTTCTGTCTTTGCTCAATAAACTGACACAAGTGAGCCAAGTATTGGCCCATAAACAAAGGAAAGGGATTGAAGTGGCCTGGGTGAGCCAGGCTGGTTCTGATCTGCCTGGAAAGACTTTTCCAAGGAAGAGAGAAGCATCTTGTCAGTGATTCACCTGCCTGGCTCACCCAGGCCTCTCCAGTCCCATTCAGCATCTCCAAGGGCAGCTTCCTGACCCATTTGTTTCAAGCATGGTTTGTAAGTAACAAAGTATTTCAAACATAGTGGCTTAAAAGGACAACAGTTCATGTTCCGGGGGCCCAGGCAGGGCTTGGTGGGAACAGCTCACGTCTACTCACAGGACATCAGCTGGAATTGTTCTTCTGTTTATCTTTCTGGGGGGAGGGGGATCATGTGTGAGGCTGCATCAGGCTGGCTGGGGGGCTGGCTGAGGTCTGGGCTCAGCAGGAACACTGGGATGGCTGGGTTTCTCTCCTTCAGCATCAGGTTAGCCCCTCTGCAGTTAACCCCTCCAGAGAAGAACTGGACTTACCCAGAAGCTGAGGGCCCTGAAGAAGCTGCAAGGCCTTAAATATTGAGGCCCAGAAAGAAAGAACACCAGACCCTGTCTCCTGGGCTCATTCTGAGGTTGCAGGACGGGATGTATGTGCAGACCTATCCTGGGGTCTGGAGCTATTGCCAGCAGCTCACTCCAGTGCTGTGTGTCTAAAGCACCAGAATCGGCCTCCCTTACCTGGGTATGTGATGAAGCCCTACTGAGCCTTCTAGTTTTATCTTCAGAGCTCCTCCTCTTGAAGTCCCCTCACTAACTGAATGGCGCTTCACCAAATACACCTGTACCTTGGGACCTCTGCGTGCTATGCTTCCTGCCCCACATGCCTGTCCTCCAGTCACTCCTCCAGCCCATTCTCCATCAGCTCCTTTCCTCCCTGGACTCTTCCTGACCCCCTGCCCCCGAGCTGGCTTCCTCCACTCTTCCCCACTCATTCACCGGTCACAGAGGCTCACCTGGACAGTGGAGGCAGGCAGGTCCCAAGGCTTGTAGAGTCCTTCTCAGCAGCCCTGAGGGAAAGACTGCAAGGGAGTCTGGCCTTGATAATGACAGTGGACCCCAGTGATCATACGCAAGGGCTCTGGAGCCAGGCTCTGTGGTTCAGATCCCACATACAACCTAACAGTTCAGTATTGTCTCATCTGTACAGTGGTGATAAAACAGTACCTAGCTCCTCAGGTTTGTTGCAAGAGTTCAATGAGAAGATGACATGGAAAGCAACATCTTCTATGTGGTTCTAATGCTCCCTAGTTACTGTTCTTACTTTGTTAACACGTGCTGCTCTTAGGCCTGGCTGTGGATGTCTGACCCCCTGAGAACAAGGGAACCGAGGCTGACCCCGCTGTGACCTTCGGTCAGCTCCTCCCTCCCCCAGCCCCTAGAGACCAGCTGGAGCCACTGTGCCCGGTGTCGTGAGGTGTCCTGTGGCTTAGCTCCCGGTCCCCAACACTGTGGTCAGCGCCTCCCTGCCTGGACCTGCCCGGCCACTGACCCCAGGCCGCCTGGGAGGTGTGAGCAGGAGGCCATGGTCCGCCAGCAGCCCAGGCTCCATGTGTCACAGGAAAGAGAGGTCTGACACGTCCCCTCTCCTGGCTGGGCACTGCTCTTTCCCCCTCCAGGTAGGTCTGCAAGGTGGGCTGTGGAACAGAGTGAGGTCTGGGCCCCTTTCCCAAATCTGGCTGGTGACTCAATGTTAAGCTCATACCCTTTGTCGCTGGGCCCTGAGACACGTTTAGGGAGTGTCAGCCTCAGAGTGTGAGGTGGGCCTGCCTAGTTAGCTAGTCAGTCAGTCACTTTTGTTGTTCTTTCTTTTCTCCATTCCACAGAGACTCCCTGAGCACCTACTCTGCACAGATACTCTTCTAGATACTGAGGATATAGACAGAACAGGACTGATCAAAGTGGAGCCTGGGAGGAGTGTGCCAGGCCTGTGAGTGAGCAGCCACTTTGTGGCCTTGAGTTCTGTGGGCCCTGTTTGGTCCCCTCTCTCACATCTACCCATGCCAGGCAAAGGAGCAGAATATAATCTGGACTCCAGAGTCAGAATCCAGTCCTGGCTGTGCCTCTTACTCACTGAGTAACAACTTGGCTCAACTCCTAAATCCTCAGTGTTCTCATCTGCAAAGTGGGTGTACCATTAAGAGGGCCAAGGAAGCAACACCTGCCAAGGATTCAACACTGAAACAGAAGCTTCTTATGACACAGCAAATGGCCTTCGTCCACCCACTGCCATCATCTGCCACCATCTCCCACCTTGCTGGGATGGAATCTTGCCCTTCCTCCTGACTTCCTGGGCAGGATGCGGCTTTGCTGACAGTAGCCAAGTCGCCTTCTGGACCCCGGAGGATGCCGGAGACCTTTCCTGTGAGCCATTTGCCCCCTGATGCCGGGGTCACAGAGGTCTTCAAACCTCTGATCAGAGAAAGATGAGGAGGAGGGTGACAGAGGCCATATTTCAGGGGCCTGTCCCAGCTGTTAGCAGGGATTCCTTCTCCATCAAGGACAGATGGGACCAGCCCTCCAGAGTCGGGATGGATTGGGCACCTGGGTGGAAGCTGACACCAAGGGTGAGAAATTCATGTGACCCTGTCATCGCCCATCAGGAGACTGCCACACTCTTCTTCCTGCAGCCAGGAAATGAAGTGACAGGTCACTATGAGGGGCAACTGGTGACAGCCCCCCTCCATAACATTTATTTAGAACTGGCAGCCCTGTCTCCTTCCAAAAGGGGCTAAGGGGCTGCTCTGACATTTGCAGGAGGACTACTGGCTAACCAGGCCTTTCTGCATTCATGCCATCATCAAATTCCCACAAGAACTTCCACTTCAGTGATGAGGAAACTGAAACTCAGAGAAATAAAGAGACTTGCTGATGTTACCCAGCTAGTCCAAGGCAGAGAAGCCTAAGGAATCCAGTTCCTCTGACTGTTAATTTTTGCAGATATGACAGGATGACAACAAACTGAAATCATAAATCTATCAAAGGACAGAGAGAGCAATGTTCTTAACTTCCAGGAGAACCTTCTGAGAAGAGGATGTACATAATGCATTTATAATGCTGAAAAATGAGGTCAATAGTTTCTGAAGGGATATATAAGAAGCCATGAATAGCACAGACCTTTGGGAGGAGAAACTGGTATAGGGGAGGGATAATGAGAGAATTTTGCATCTCATTCTTTTTTTTTTTTTTTTAATTTTGCATCTCATTCTATGTCTTCCTGTAGCACTGGAATGATTTTCCATGAGCATTTAATAAGCAGAAGTAAGGGGTCATCAACTAGTAGGAGTATGGATCATTTTTCATTGTCTTCTTGATTTTTTTCTGAGATAGGAAAAGAAAGAGGGAATTTCCTGACAGTACAGTGGTTAGGATTCCAAGCTTCCAATGCAGAGGGCCACGGGTTTGATTCCTGGTTGGGGAACTAAGATCCTGCATACCACAGGCGTGGCCAAAAAAACAAAACCAAAAAAAGAAGTATATTTGTTTAAAAAAAAAAAAGACATCAGGAAGTTAATAAAAACTGAATCCCAAGAAAATTTCACAAATACACTTATTTGTACAACTAAGAACTCTTTGGGACTTCCCTGGCAGTCCAGTGGTTAAGGGTTCACCTTCCAATGCATGGGGTATGGGCTTGATCCCTGGCTGTGAGCTAAGATCTTACATGCTTTGGGGCCAAAAAGCCAAAACATAAAACTGAATCAATACTGTAACAAATTCAATAAAGACTTTAAAAATGGTCCACATAAAAAGAAAAAAACAGAACAAATATTTGTTAAAAAAAAAAAAACAAAAAACCTCTTTCTGGGGAAGATCAGAATAAATATCAGAGGGAATAAATTACTTAAACGCCATGCTATACCAAGATTTTCATGACTAAAAGCAGGATACAGTTCTCTGATATCTGCATTGAAACTGCTGTCATCAATAATTAAACATGGAAAAACTAAAACGTAGGCTAATGCAGTTTCTGGAATGAAACATTTCATTTTACTTTGAGCTCCATGCCTTAAATGGAGCCTGGAACACAGTAGATACCCCCCAAAATCCATTGGCTAATGGATAATTGACTTGTGCTCACTAGATCCTGAAGTGGGTACCCAGTCAATACCTGCTAATGGAAATCAATAATAAAATGCTATCCTTCTCAACCACTATCCCTGGATCCCGGCTTTGACCCTAATCCAGGGTGAGTGTCATCAGCCTTGGGCAAGGTTGGGAGACTCTGAGCTCCCCTCCCTGACAAAAGGAATGGGTAACCAGAGGGACTGACCCCATCACAGTCCAGTGTCTGGGAGTGGTGAGCACAGGCAGGTCTTTCCATCCTGATTGCCCTGTCAATACAGGCACAGAGGCTGTGCGGGCTAGCCTCATCCAATATTTACTGCCCTTTCCCAGCCCACGCTGCCTCCTGCTCACACAAGCAGGCGTGCAGAGGACCAGACTGAAATCCCCATTCTCACATCTCTCTAGGAGCCAGAATCCAGCCCCACAGGATTCCTCTCCTCCGACCCAGGATATGAGCTAGCATTGCGGGCTTGCCATGGCCTTGAAAACAACAAAACTCCACCTGAGTGTACCATCTTCCTCCAAACCAGTCCTTTTCAGCTTCCCTCTCTGACCACAGTCTCACATTCCCCTCATCAGCCCATCCTACAGCCTCCATCTCCAGCCCACTCCTCAAATCCACTCTCCAGTCTCTGGGTGTTAAGAGCACTTCCTCTACCAGGTCCACATTTTTATCCCCTCCAGTCTTACTGACAGCCCTTTCACCAGTCATCTCATGCCCAGACCACAGCAGTAGACCCCTAACTTGTCTTCCTGCTCCCAGGGCCTCTGTCTCCAAGCCAGCCTGCAAAGAGATGCAGTTGAACCAAAGTAGAGAACCCTTTCCATCCATGCAACTTCCGGTCCAGAAATAGCTAAGAGCTTCCAGTTGCCTTTAGAGCAGGGTCTTACTTGCTCACCAGCATCCATTCAACTTGACCAACATCTATATATCACACTCACTTGGGACCAGGTAGTATTTGGTCCAAGTGCTTGCAAACATGAATTTACTTAAGCCTCATATAATGAGGTCAGTACTGTTATGATCACTGCTTTATAGGTGGGGAAACAGGCATGAAGACGTAAAGTAACCTAAGGTCACATCATCAGTAAATGACAGAAAGCAAATTTGAATCCAACTAGTCTAGCTCTGGGGGCTTCCCAGGTGGCACTTGTGGTAAAGAACCCATCTGCCAATGCAGGAGACATAAGAGACACAGGTTCAATCCCTGGGCGGGGAAGACTCCCCTAGAGGGCATGGCAACCCACTCCAGTATTCTTGCCTGAAGAACCCCATGTAGCTCTCCAGGCTCTGGTCCATAGGGTCACAAAGAGTCAGACATGACTGAAGCAACTTAGTATGCACACATGCAGCCTGTCTAGCTCTGGAGTCCGCGTTCCTGTCCTTGGGCATCTGTGGCGAGGATGCATGGACCACATCCCCCTTGTTTTCCTGACTTTCTCTGCCAACCCCTGGGATTCATGAGCTGATGAGCATGGGTGTCCTCTGCTCCTTTTCTTCCCATGAGGATGTCTTTGCACTGCTTCCCTCCTTCTCACTCCCCACCTCCTCTGCTCTGTCCAATTTTCTGCCCTCTCAAGGCTAAGTTCAGCCCACTTCCCTGACTCCTCCGCCCTCCAGCTTCACTCATCCGCATCACCTGTGACTTCCCTTCAGCTCTCCTCTGGTGTTCTTGTCCACAGACTGCACTGTCTTCCCTCTGTGGGGTCCAAGTAGAATCTTTCTCCCCCATCCCGTGAAGGCAAAGGGAGAGCATGTTGCAATTCTCACTCATCTCCCATCACAACCCATCGCCAGAGGGAGCAGGGAGAACGGAGGGACCCGGTGAAATCAGACCAATAGTGAGGCAACCACAGGAGAGGAGGGTGAGGGCTTCTTGGAGGAGGTGGACTTGCATGAACTCATCGGGCCCTGCAAGGAGTGAAGGGAAGGTCCTGGGGATTAGCCTGCTACTGCTGCCCCCTCACCCCTCCTCATCAAATTCCTGGCACCCTCCTCCTGATTCCTGTCCTGGGGCATTTGCGGCAGAAGTGCTTTTCCCAAGGTGCTTGTGAGATGGATTCTTCAAGAATAACCTCCTCTTCAAGCCTTTCCCCGACTGCTCTCTCTCAGGCTGCTAGTTCCTTCTTTTTCTCTTTCTCTTTCTTTTGCCCTGTTTTATTCTTCTTTCTGATTTTTCTCAGTTCCCAAAGATCTTTACTTTTTTCCCTTGCTATTTTTTGTGGCTCCCACCAGTCTATTTAAACAGGTCTTCCTTCATCTCTGAATTCCAGCAGTTTGTGCAGCCCTGGCACATAGTAAGTCATTAATAGTTATTTATTGAATGAGGAATAAATGAAGGGCCAAATGAGAGCATCTTGTTTGCTGTGGACCCGGGGAAACACAATAGGGCTGTGGTTCTCCCACCCTGTTTGGTTGGGAAAGACCACTTGGGCCCACAGGTGGCTGCAACACAAGACCTCCCCCAGACGAATGCCTTTGGCAAGACCCCAGTGAGTACTGGGGGCCAATGGGGGCAGTCAGGACATAGGGGCTGGGGATAAGGGTGGTCTTGGTCCCCAGAGTTTCTAGTGAAATGAGTGTCTTTGGTTTCAGTCCTGAGGCAGATCTTTCATATGTGTGGGTCACTTTGACAATTGTGGTAGGCAGGATTAGTTTAATGTAGATATAACTATCTTAACCAACCATTTTCTTACTGGACTCTTATATGAGGCCTAAAAGGTAAGTAGGACTCTGTTTTCATGGAAGATGAAGTAAAGTTTCAAAAATATCAAACTATTCATAAAAAATTACTCAGTTCTATGATCTTATCTTAGATCAGAGTATTATTGAATGATGTCTGATCATTTAATTCTTTTGGGGGGGTAAAGGGGATATTTGTATAGAAAAGATCCTAAGAATAGTAGATATCAATACTATTTAACCCTCAATACAATTTAACTCTCAGCAAGCTATTTCTATGTGCCAGGCACTTTTCTGAGATAGTTACATGTAGAAACTGATTGAATCCTGACGTTGCCTTGTGAGAAAGGACCAATTGTAATTCTCAATTAACAGATGGAGAAACTGAGACACAGAGAGAGTAAGCAACTCACCCATGGACCTATAGCTAAGCAGTGGATGTGATAACAATAGTAAGTGTCTGCAAACACACCATTTGTTTCCCACCCTCTTCCAACGAAGCTGAGACTTGTTCTAGCCAATGAAATATCAGCAGAAGAGACATCTGTCACTTCCAAAGGGAGGCCAGTGAAAAGCCCAGGCATGAGCCTCCAGTCTCTCCTTTCCCCCGATGTGAAACAGTGGTGATGTGCCTATGGCACCTTCAACCACTTGCATCCCTAAGTCACTGTGTGGAGCAGAGTACCTACTCTGCTGCCTTACATGGGACATGCAGCTTGGGAAGAAATAAACTTGCATTATGTCAACCACAGAAATCTGGGGGGTTGTCTGTCACCATGCACCTCCTGGTCAGTCAGTAGCAGATCAAGGCTCAACTAGCTCAGTCTCAACTGGGAATTCTAAGGCTCAACCCTTAAAGTATCTTGGTATGAATCTTACCTAGTGATGGCCACCAAAATCCCCAGAACAAATCTGTCACTTCTCTCCTTCCCCTGCCCGCCCCAAATTTGGAGAGGACATAGCTCATGGAGCCCCTGTTCATGTTAAAGCCCTTATTAGTAACACCACTCTGTCCATTTGGTTCCGGTGGAGCCCAGGACCAGCCTGGCCAGTGAGAGCACTGAATCCTCCAAACTTTAATGACTGTGCACAAACTCTGGTTGGTGCAGAGAGGGCAAAACCCAGGGCTTGTGTAGGATTTACCAGGGCAAGAAACACTCTCTCTTCTGCTCATCCTTGGAGGGTGGAGGCCTGAGCCGATGGCCATTTTGCCACCCCATGGGACCTAGGTGTGAAACCAAGCCCCATGTTGAGTGCTGAGCTGAAAGGTAAGACCCACTGGTGCCATCTGAAGCTCTGGACTCAGCTGGGTCTGAGACCAGCTCTACTCAAATGTCTGTGGTTGACCAAAGCAGTTTGAATGGAAATTTCCTGTCACTTGCAACCAAAAGGTTCTGAGTGGGATGTCACTGCACCCTGCGGCTCTGTCGTGCTGCAGAACACTGTGTGTTCTGGATGGAGGCAGGAGAGACGCCTTGGGACCCAGGAGCAGGGGGACCTTTAGTAGCAGACTTCTGGAAGAGATGGTGGGCTTGGGCAGAGCAGGACTGGGGTGCTGGCAGGATGCCTGTGCAGAGGTGCCTGGCAGGT